GGCTACGACGTCTGGCTGGGCAATGCGAGGGGCAACACCTACTCAAGGCAGCACAAGCACATACATCCGGATACATCTGATTTCTGGAAGTTCAGCTGGCACGAGATCGGCGTCTACGATCTGGCGGCGATGCTGGACTTTGCCCTAGCTGTGAGCGACAGCAAGTCGCTGCACTTTGTCGCCCATTCACAGGGCACGACAACCTACTTCGTGCTGATGTCCTCGCTGCCGTGGTACAACGAGAAAGTGCGAACGGTGCATTTACTGGCGCCGATCGCCTACATGAGGAACCATTCGTTTATACTGTCCAAGCTGGGTGGGATGCTGCTTGGCTCACCCTCGGTGCTCAGTTGGGTGCTGGGCAACATGGAACTGCTGCCCATTACGAGCATCCAGAAGATTCTATGTGAGCATGTCTGCTCAGTGGGCTCCATGCTGAAGTTCTTGTGTTCGGGCCTGTTAGATTTCATTGGCGGCTGGGGCACCCGGCATCTAAATCATGTAAGCAAGACGCTCTCGAAGTCTGGCTATCAGCACTAACTCTCATTTAATTCTTATTCATTTTTCAGACGCTACTCACAGACGTTTGTGAGACGCATCCAGCTGGTGCGTCGACGACACAAATTATCCACTACCTGCAGCTATATACCTCAGGCGACTTCAGACAGTACGATCACGGCAAGGAGCAGAATGAGATCATTTACAGACAAGCCGAGCCCCCCTCGTATAATGTGCAGAACATCAATAGTTGTGTGAATATGTACTACAGCGACAACGATTACATGTCCGCTGTGGAGGATGTTGAATACCTGGCAACGTTGCTACCATGTGCGGACCTCTATCGCATTCCCTATAAGGACTGGAATCATTACGATTTCCTTTGGTCCGTCAATGTCAAGGAAGTGATCAACAACAGAATAATTGATAAAATGCACAGATATGATATGGAGCACGATGCGGCCATCAGTTTCTAGCGATGCTACGATAAAACTTAGTCAAGAACATAAACGGAATCCCAAATGTAAATACGTGTAAATAATATGGTTAGCAATGAGCGTGTGCGTGATATACATGGTAATAATTATTATTTAAGTTGCAAAAGGTTTGTGAAATGCTTCAAGCTAACATTATATAGTTTTTAATACACACTCTGTTACAAAATATACAAAGAGAAACTTTTTTGAAAATGTCGCCAAACAAAAATATGTTATTATTTACCGTTGCTTGCTTTAAAACATATTTAAATAAAGTCTTGCTTTCTAGCAGGTAAAATCACATATGAAATATATTTGCAAATAATAAATATTAACCATAGATAAGTCGATGAACATATATAATTGCCATGTACCTCTTATTTCAAACTTACCGCCAAGATAGCAAATTTAATCGATAGTCATTTGACAGAATTTATTACAGTTAACAAAATTGTCACGTTCCACTCGTTCCATCTAGTTCACAGCTTGAGTAATTAACAGTTTCAAATGTCTTTGTCTCTTTCATATAAAAACTGTCATATTTCAACTTATTTATTTATATTTACATCTTTCGAACAATTCAGTATGCTCTACTGACACGTAAATATAAATTCCGTTCGAATTTAGTTGAGACAATCTGCTATTAACAGAGAACTCTTCATGCACCTAACAGCCGAATTACTTAAAAACACTCACTAAAGTTTATAAAATTTACATAACTATTGGACTTATCATGCAGTGGATTTTTCTGAATAATTTTCTTCTATATTAATAATTTAAAATTGTGAATATACAATTTTTCTCGATTGTGAACCAGCGGTCCCGTGACACGTAACAGTTACGTGAAAACAAAGTCCATCACTAATATGTATTCGCTGAGTGTATAACGCAAGTAGTTAAATTTTTTCACAGTGCTGCTACACAACAACAAATTACGGTGTGCATAAAAATCACAGAATTATACACGGAGAAAAAACTTCAATAACTTCCTTTCCAATAACAATAATTGTTGCATTCATATGTAGCTGTTCAGAACGAATTCGATATTCACAATGGGTAGGTGTAATGAAGGCGAGCATAATTACTTGTATATTTATGTCTAAGCCGCAGTGCTTTGGTTCTCCCCTCCCCCATCCCTTCTAAGCGTATCATTTGAGACCAGGGCTGCATTTGTATATCCAAGAAAAGTAAATATGTACATACACATACATACAGGAATAAGAAAAGTATTCTCTTTGTGTTTTGTGTGTAAATCAACATGAACCATGTTTATTTACTCTTGCAGCAGCTCAATCAGTGAACACTGGTCAGAAAATGCTGGTGGAAATAACAACGGACGGCATACCGAAGCTTCACTGTCCGGTCTGCAACAAGGCATTAATTTCGCTCGCCGGCTACGTGAAGCATGTTAAGAAACACGAGCCGCCGGGTGGCTTCCGGTGTCGCTATTGCGAGCTTACGTTTTGCCATGAAGAGCAGTTGAAGGAGCATCTGAGGGTCACACACAGCGCCTATATCGAGTGTCGCCTGTGTCACAGCCTGTTCGGCAGCGAAGTGGAGCACGAGGCACATATCGAGGAGGCGCATCAGGAACGCAAATTTAATGTGAGCCAGGATCAGGAGCTCTTCAAGTGTGAGGTAATCCACTTTAAGCGTCTCCAGTTGAAATCTTAAGTGTTTTCTCTAATCCAGCTTTGCGGCAAAAGCTTTGCGGATCGTGAGAGCAGCGCGAAACATCAAGCCGAGCACGAAGATAAATTGAAAGGAGGCGCCACCAGCCAGGCCAAGCAGCAGCGGAACTGTAGACAAGGTTGTGGGTGAATCCGATGCCTTTGCTCCTCAGCTCAATTCTAATCCCACTTCCCTTGCAGTTCCCATTCCTGCTGTTGGACCTGCGAACATAGTCAAACGAAAGCGTGGCAGACCTAAGAAATGTCCAGTAGCAGCTCCAGAGGACAGCGACGACGATGTACCGCTGGCCAGCAGGTTAAAAGTTCAGGCGCCTATGAAATTGAAACAGGAGTTCGTTAGCAGCCAGGAGCTAAGTGACACAGACGAGGAGTATCCCGACTTCGAGCCCAACAACAGCGACGAGGAAGCGGATGCGAATCAGTTTAAGCTGCCTCCCCCAGCGCTTGTCAAAGAGGAAGCCATCGATCCCGACTTTGAGTATCAGGATGCCAGCGCCTTCGTTAAGATGGAGGGCAGCAACGGATTGGACATCTACAGCAATGAGAAGGATAAACTACTGGACGTGCTGCTCAGTCAGGACGAGAGTATGAAGCCGTACGAGCATTTGAAAGTGGAGCATGCAACGGGCATATTGGACGAGATTGCCGCTGTGCCCATGGCCAAGCAGAACGGGGAAGACCACATGGAGGAGGATGTGCTGGCACTGCGCGAAACGGAACCAGACAGTGAGGAGGAGGCCCAACTGCGTCCAATCAACAAATCCAGTGTAAAGCGCAAATATCGAAAGAGAGGAGCAGCTGTCGCCTCCCCGGAGTCCCAGGAAGAAACAACAACCGCTCCTCGACGTGTGGCCAAAATAACCAAAAAGGAGCTGAAAGAGCGCCTGAAAATGCTGAGCAAAATGGAAAAGACGTGGCAGTGTCCACACTGTGTGAAAATCTATCACATTCGCAAGCCATATGAGAAACATCTGCGCGACGACCACAAGCTAAGCGAACAGGCGGTCAAGGAGCTCTTCAAGGATGCGGATGCACATGCTAAGCTGGATGAGGAAGTGTTCAAATGCAAAATCTGCAGCAAGATCTACTTGGTAGAGAAGCGGCTGGAGACGCACATGAAGGTGCACGGCAAAGATGGCAGCCTGATCCACAAGTGCCCCTGCTATTGCAATTTGTTCTTCGCCAGCAAGGAGCTCGCCACCCAGCACGCACACCAGCAGCACAAGGAGCTGCTCTACTGCGAGAAGTGTGACAAGTACATGACCGGACATGACAGCCTGAAGAACCACGAGAAGAACTACCATGCTCGAAAGGAGCCGCGCAATCTGCCGCGGAATCTGATTTGCGATAAGTGTGGCAAGAAATTCACGGGGCGCACCTCGCTCTCGGATCACGTTCGCTCCGAATGTGGGCGAGTGCCACTATACGAGTGCAGCGTTTGCTGCAAGCGGCTCTCCACAGCGGGAATACTGAAAACGCACATGCTCCTGCACCAGTCGGAGACGCCGTACCAGTGCGACAAGTGTGGGAAGACGTTCAAAGTGAAGGCGCAGTACAAATCGCATTTGAAGACCCGTCATACAGACAACAAGCCCTACAAGTGCCATGTGAGTATGCAGTGGCTGTTAATGTTAGGTCTTCTCTGTTAAAGGCAACGGCTCATGCCTCAAGCTATTGCTTATCCGTTTTTATATCAAATGGTTTTTAGTTAATGCTTAATGTTGCTCTTAGCATGGTACTACTGTAATAATTAAATGTTTAGTATTTATTATCTGGATGGAATAGCCACGGTCTTGATCTACAGCTATTCTACTGTTAAATTTCCAGTCCAGTAGAGATTGACTCTTCTTGTTTGTTTTTCCCTTGTAGCTCTGTCCCAAGGAGTATCCATACCGGGAAAGCCTGTTAACCCACATGACTGTGCACACGGGCATCAAGCGCTTCCTTTGCAACAACTGCGGCAAACGCTTTACATGCATCTCCAATCTTCAAGCGCATCGAAAGGTGCACGCCGACACCTGCGGGCAGCTGCCCCTGAATGCGAAAGCCACGCAATATATGGGTGTGCAGCGGGGAAAACTTCTAATGGGAGCCAAGCCAGAGGCGGGCATGGAATACGAGGAGACAAAAACTCTGATAGCCCAGGATGTGATCGATCGGGACATGCCGATGGCGCAGGAGTTGAACTTTCCATCCGATGGCAGCGCGCCGCTGGCAACGGTTCCACTCAATTACGCTTCATCGCATCTGGTGCCGCACATTGTGCTGCAGACAATGCAGGCTGAGGCAAGGACACAGGATTAGCTTAGGTTTTAAAAAATAAAGACGCTTTTTGTATATGGAGTACGAGTGTTTTCACTCACTAACTACGGGCCTTAACCTAGTTCTTAAGTCTAGTTTAGTCTAAAATACGGCTGCTGAAAGCGCCCAATGGGCATGCGTCCCTTTCTGCGTAGCCTTCGCACAGCTTCCCGAATGAATTTTGGCTGCAGTGCACCTGATTCGCCTTGCTGCTCCATTACATCCAGAGCTGAAATGCAAATGAATATAAATACAAAGCTACATATCTCAAATTTGATTATCTACCTTCTTCCACCACTTCACCAACGAACACTTTGGCTATGCCCGACATGGCTATAACCACGTTTTGAGACACCGAGCACCCAGTTATAGTCTGCATAAGCCTTTTGACTGCAGCCTTCGGAAATGCAGAGCGACGATACATCTCATAGCGATCAAGCTGCTCTTCCGTAAAGTTAGACACTAGCACCCTGTAAAATGCAACTTAACTAGCTGTGTAAAGAATGGGTATAAAGGTCTTACTGCATGCGCTCGCGTTCCTCTTCTTCTAGCTCCTTTTTGGTTTTCAGCTTCTTTTGAGATGGCTCGCCGGAGTCACCATCTGCATCGCCATCATTCTTAATATCCCTGCCATCAACATCTGCTGTGTCGGAGGTTTCGCTGTCTTTGCGGCTTTCGGTAGCGGTGTTAAAGAATTTTAAATCACCATCATCATTGTCGCTTAAGGAATTTTGTGTGGGAAACAGAATTTCATCCATTTCGTTGAAAATAAACAGCTATTAATTGTCGAACAGCCACCACAACTTATCGGGGGAAGTAGCACCACTAATAATTGTTGTATGGCATTGTGAATGATAATTTCGATAACATAAAAAAAACAAATAAAATATTAAAAACATAAAAACTATTGTCAAAGATTAAAAAATAAATAATAAATGCTCGAGTTAATGTACTGCAGATTAAATTACCTTTTTCATTGTTACCATCGATTGCATTACTTGATTGTGGTTTTCTACCATCTCTATTAAACAAATGTGTTTGAATGTTTTCTTACAGAATCAATACAGTAACTAGTAAGCATAAATAAACTAGAAGGGAAATGCTGAAATGAAATTATATTAAAAAGGTCGATGTGTCGTATCGGTATCCAAATTTGAAGTTAAGTCAAGCATGCGATAGAAGTTATCGTTTAAATGAAATATATCGTGTTTGTAAGGTAACAACACATCACTAACCTCGTGCTCTCCTTTCATCGCCATCATTGCTTTGAAGCCGCAAGTGTATTCTATAATTTTTTACCAATACTTCAAACATGTCAGCAGTGGAAGCATTGAATGTTGAGGCAGCCGCAACAGAAGTGGCTGGCGGCGACGACGCCAAGAAACAAAAAAAGCCAAAACCGAACAATAAAAAACTGCGACAAGGTAAGTGACCTGTCGTCCCTTTGCTCATGCAGTTATAGGTACATATGTATGTACGTATGTATATAAATATGTACATATATATTCAAATATACACGTATGTACGAATCTGTTGTATACGCAATTGTAAAATAATTGTAGAAGCTGCAGCCAAAAAGATCGCTGAGGGTGGCGAATCAGAAGCTGCGACTAATGGCGAATCTGAGAAAAAGCCGCCAACTCAGGCGCCGGCAACCAAGAAGAAGAACAAGGGCAAAAAGTCTGGTCAAACGGATCCACCTACTATACCTATATCGGAGCTTTACCCCAATGGCAATTATCCGGAGGGTCAGATAATGGATCATCCAATACCCAAGGATATGGCCGACGATCGCACCGCCAAGGATCGGTTTACGTCCGAGGAGAAGCGTGCGTTAGATCGTATGAACAACGATATCTACAATGAACTGCGCCAAGCTGCGGAAGCGCATCGTCAGACACGCCAATATATGCAAAAATACATTAAGCCCGGCATGACCATGATCCAGATATGCGAAGAACTGGAGAATACCGCGCGCCGATTGATTGGGGAAAATGGCTTGGAGGCCGGCTTGGCCTTCCCCACCGGCTGCTCGCTTAATCATTGCGCTGCCCATTACACGCCCAATGCCGGCGACACTACCGTGCTTCAATACGACGATGTGTGCAAAATCGATTTTGGCACCCACATCAAGGGCCGCATCATTGATTGCGCCTTCACGTTGACCTTTAACAATAAGTACGATAAACTGCTGCAGGCGGTGAAGGAGGCAACCAATACGGGCATCAAGGAGGCGGGCATTGATGTGCGTCTATGCGACATCGGCACGGCCATACAGGAGGTGATGGAATCATACGAAATCGAACTGGATGGCAAGACTTATCCGATTAAGGCCATTCGTAACTTAAACGGACACTCTATTAGCCCGTACCGTAAGCAATATAAATACATATGCTTTCTACAAAAAATATCTAATTGCTAACCTCCTATACTCTCGTTGCAGGTATTCATGCTGGCAAGACCGTGCCCATTGTCAAGGGCGGCGAGTCTACGCGCATGGAAGAGGATGAGTTCTATGCCATTGAAACGTTCGGCTCCACGGGTCGCGGATTGGTCCACGATGACATGGACTGCTCGCATTATATGAAGAACTTTGATTTGCCATTTGTGCCGCTGCGTTTGCAGTCTTCCAAACAGTTGTTGGGCACCATAAACAAGCATTTCGGAACGTTGGCCTTCTGCAAGCGCTGGCTTGATCGCGCGGGCGCTACGAAATACCAAATGGCACTCAAGGATCTGTGTGACAAGGGCATCGTGGAGGCCTATCCGCCGCTGTGCGACATCAAGGGCTGCTACACGGCGCAGTACGAACATACAATTATTTTGCGGCCCACCTGCAAGGAGGTTGTCTCTCGTGGTGACGATTATTAAATTTGATATTTGAGTACACTCTGAAGCAGAAGCGCTTGCGCGGACAGTTCATAATTTGTAGCATGCATTATATATTATACACGTATGATAACTACAGTTTATATTTTGAATAAGTGCGATTGTTTGTAAGTGCGTGAGCTGGAGAGGCGTACGGCGATTACAATATACTTGTGTGTTTTGAGCTCTAAGCGATCACATAAGCCAATCTGCATTCGAATGTCAACATTTGTTTTTATTATTCATTCCAATGCAGCGAGCTGGTGAGTGAATCAATTTTATTTCCGTCGTTTCTTGGCTTGAGCCATGCCCTGTAGTAAAAGACAAACCATTTGCCAGTGAGGTAGTAAAATATTTCTATGTAGCTAATTATGCTGAAGCCATACATCAATGATAAGATACCACCAAAACGATCTGCAAAGACATTTAAAGTTAAAGTAATTTATTTATTATAATATTAGCATGAAAAATAAAAGATAGTTTGAACAGGGAATATGGACATGTTAACATGTTACAAATGCATTAGTCAGTAGCTTTCCTTAATTTTATCAAGCTAAAATTGTTTATAACTAATCTTATCGACAGTCAAAAGTTCTGCTGTTGAAGGTAAAATGTTACAGCGTGCAGAGAATATGTAGTATAAGTATGACAAACGAAATTACTTAAACAACTCAATGCTTTACTGAGCTGTATAGAGTGTCCCAGGCCTAAACCAAACAAACAGGAAAACTGCCTCTATTTCTTTGGTTTCCTCTAAGTACTTCTTCTAAATATTTTTTCTGTATTTAATTCAAGTATTTCCTCTGAGTAATTCTCCTCAGTATTCCCTCTGAGTCTTCTAAGTCTTTCATGCTTAGTTAAACGATCACACACTTCACTTTAGTGCACGATTGACGACTGAAGAAACGCTGCAGCTGCCGCCCTTTATATAGGGCGACTTTCACTCAGTCTGAGTAGCGCTCAAATGCTCAGCTCCAGACAAATAGATTCACTCAAAGTTCGACTCCAATGACCTCTACCTGGAGCCGAATTCAATTCAATACTCTTCTCTAATTCTTCGTCCCTTGCATTTAGGCAGACAGAAAGAGACACAGATGGAGAGACAGACATACGAATATATACATGAATGTATATCCTGGACAAGGCAAATTGTTGATATGTTAAATAGGTTTTGTGCATTAAAATTTGTAATTATGAGATGTCATACACAGCAGTTTCATCTGTTCTATAGTTTTCTTAAGAGCAAGGTATTTTGCAAAGTCTGTCATTCTCATTTTCAATCGATGTATTATAAACTAGTCTAGTCTAGTCTAGTCGGAAAGAGGCTAAACTAGCAACACTGATGGTTTTTGAGGGGGTAAGCGTAATGCGATTGGACGAGTACAGAAAGAATATATTTCGACTCAACTGAGCAGCACAATCCAATCGCCAACCATATCCATTTGTGTGGACTGCGCAAAGCGCAGTTTGAAGAACAATTTGATTATGGACAAGGGGCGATCGTTGTTCAAGTCCTTGCTGCAAGTAGAGATAGGATTAATAAACTGGAGAAGCGGTCTAAGGACCATCCTTCATACAGTAGACCATGTCCGTAGCCGGATGAGTTGAAGGATCTTCTGAGCGGGGCTACGTTGTTGCTAATCTCGAAGTTAACGCCATCGCAGCTGGGCAGACAAAGTGGACATTGCGTCATGCTGCTGGCGTCCTCCGCTGCTTCCTCGTCCTGCTCCACATAGGGGTACTCAGTGAAGCCATACCAAACGCTGCGCCACTTCATCAGGCACGGCAAGTCGAGCAGCGAGCAATAGCTGACATTCAGAGCGGTGCCGGCCATGGGGGATGATGCACAGCCGCAATGCTGCAGCATGCTGTTGATGCGACAGAGTAGAATGCACTCATCCAGTGAGTAGTACGATCTGCAAAGCAGCAGCTGCACTTGCTGATTCATTGCATCCATTAGATCCCCATTCACTCACTGATTCAACAACTTTCGGCCCTCCTCGGGGAAGTAACAGCGCCGTACTTTGGGCGTGACGCCGCGAACCGCAGCGCTGGAGTCGAAGAACTTCGGCTGCACGGGAATCTCCACAATGGTGTTGTGATCCACGAGTATTTCGCCATGCTTATTGGACTGCACTGTGGCGTAATCCTCTTGCGGAAATATAATGAGCTGTAAGGCAAGATCAGTAAGGTTACACATCAAAAAAATCCGCTGAAAATGTCACCCGAAATTCAGTGCCGATTAATAAGCAATTCATAAAAAGAATTTGTGGAATACAAAACCAATATTCCAAACCATATGTATATAAGATATCATTTCGTGTAGCCTTATAAACCTGTATTAGTTCGTCGTAATAGAAACTAAAGATATTAAGTTTGAAATCTACACACGTTTTTTGGGATACCTACTGTAGGGCATGTTTAAGTACATTGTCTGGTATATCAAAAATTGGATCTGACCGTAACAAGCGTTACGTATACAAATCTAGGAATATTCCTAATTGGAAAGTTCATACATCGTTACGCCTACTAGTGCTTGGACAATGACTGATTCTAATTCAGTTCTTACGAGTTTTTAAATGGGAACATGTATGACATTTACCCGAAAAGCCGTATTCGTGAAATAGCTCAATGTATAGTCGTCGTGGTGTGTGTCCTGCAGCACGAATTGTATGCCGTTCAAAATGGAGTTCGATTCAAAAACCACCCGTGGCAGTGCCGCCATTTCAGCATCATCTCGCTCACGCTGTCCGCTGTAAGTGAAAAAAAAAATGCCTAAGAATATATTGCTCAATATAGCTGGAAACTATTTGAATTGCTCACGGATATTGCGAATAGCTGGGTCGCCTATAGTTGAATATGCAACACACACCAGACGACGTTGCCCGCTTGATGAACAATTGGCTCGTGTTAACAGGCGTGCCATAGACGATCCCTCGCAGCACCAGGTCTGCGCAGTCGGGCGTCAACTCGCGCAGTATGTCGTGCACCGAATACTCACTGCCATTGTAGTAGCTGGTGAGTAGCCAGTGGAGGTGACCCAGTTCAGCGACATCCAATGGTGCCTCCTCGTCCGCATTCAAATAAAAGTTGCTCAGCAGCAGCAGGCGGTCCGCCAAGACCTCCAAGCCTAACGGGGAGTAGCGACTGCCGTTGCTAACTGCTGCCCCGTTTTGCGTCTGGTGCTGATAGCTGGGAATCGAGTGGGACATTAGCATGCGAACTGAGTGACAATATGCAGGTTAACTTTTTCGGGCTAGACGCAGTCTCAATACACTGTAAATTATATGTATATACTATAGAGGAATGAATCTACATATATCTATCGAGTCATCAAAAAACTTGTTTATCCTAACCAGACATGCATACGATAATTTGTCTATTCAAGTCCTAGAAAAGTGTACTCATCGGAGGATTTAAAATCTTTAAAACTATAAGCATAGTATTTATAAACTCTAAGATCTAAATACTTGCGTTTACAGTTTAGCCAAAAGTTCTTTGGCACCGCAAAGAATTTAAAATTGACGAATTGCACTCATTGTAGGTCTTTGTCACTTTACTCACAGTCAAGATGTGCAATATGCAAGGCTTTTACCCACTTTCTCTTTAACCAATTCCATTGAAGCGCAACTTTGACAAAGAAGTCTATAAAAGTTAAACACATATCTTTCTGTAATTCATAGCAAAGCCAACAATGTCGCTGAACAAGTCGCTTCTTTTTCTCGCGTTGGGCCTTTTGGCCAC